AATTATGCCGCACCAAATAAGAGGAGAACTTAGAGAGAAAATTAGAAAATTCAATTTGTGCCGCAGCAAGGAGAAAGAAGGGAAAGATGAGCCTTTGTGCCGTGCCTATGCCCAAGCTTTTGGGAGTGTTGAAGCGTCTCTAGGGTGTTTTCTATCCTTGTTTTAGTTTTACAATTATGTTGATTTCGTTGTTAATTTCTGCAATCATGTGGAACTAATTTCTTTATAGTTGGAGGTGAATTCGAAGCCATGATTATATGTTTTATATGAATTGATTACATCCAGTTATTGTTTCTTGAGTCTTGAATGTGATTTGCTTATCTGAGTTATCAAAACTTGTTTATGTATGTTGATTGAGGATCGATACTTGGTTTGCATGCATGAATTTGATGCTAGAATATAAGGGAGTTTCACGTAATAGTTATTCGCTTATATTCACATGTAGTGGAAGTCACTAGTCATGATTGTGTTAAGTGAATCCTTGGCAGAAATCTCATGCATTTCATAGTGATGAATGCCTTGTCAATGCTTATGATTTTCATAGAACTTAATGACTTTTGATATGTATCTCTGTCATGCGTTTCATATAAAGAACTTGAGAAAGATAATTTGATTGTAATGTGTATTCATTCAATTCAATGAAATAAGGAAAATCTGATGGTTGGTTGTGTGATGCAATTAACTTTAGGTGTTGTCATTCATAGTCTAAAGAAATAATAACTGGAAATTGGTTTGTATGCATATATCATGTGTGGAGAAGAACCCTCTAACTAGCCTTTCACCCATTCAATTCACCTAATTTCGTGTCTAACCTGTTTAGTTTGCAATCTGATTAGTTTAATTAATTCGTCCAAAGTAATCCCGCCTTTTATGAAGTGTGTTAGATTAGTTAGAAAAATGTTTGAATCTGTCCAATTTAGTGTTTTGAGTCTTACTAGTCTAAAATTCATCCAAATAACTCCTTAGAGTCTCTTTTGAGTCTATTTGCTAGTATTGTGTTGTTTAGAGTCTGTTTAGTATGTTTTGAGTTTTTAGTGTCTAGTTGAGTGTTTCTAAGTCTAGTTTAGTGTTATTGAGTCTAATTTGAGTAGATTAGCATCCCTAGTTAATCCCCAATCTAGAACAATCCCTACTTACATATATACTACAATTGTCAACAATAGGGTTTAATTTGTGTGTCAAGTTAATTTTCACATCAAATTTTGGCGCTTTTGCCGGGGATTAGCAAAATTGCTAATCTTCCCTTAGTTAGTGCCGTGTGTTTCTCTTTGTTTCTGTCCGTGTGTTTTTGTTTTCTTTTCTGATTTTATTTTGTTTTGTTTGCTTTGTTTTAGGTACTAGTTTATGACTCGTAGTTCTCAACCTGTTCGTGAGCATATATTGGAGTTTGACGACGATTTTGATCGAACGTTGAGAAGAAAGAGGAGGCATCCAGAACCTAGTCCACCTAGTTTTGAAGCCGAATCTGAAAAAGAAGAAGTGGAAGAGGAAGAACAAGCCATGGCTGCGAATAATCGAATAATCAAGGAACTTTCAGCCTTGGGATTAGACAATGTCGTGCCTTTATGCATTCAATATCCTAAGGCAACTCAAGGCAAGACCGATGAGTTCGAATTGAAGTCTAGCTTGTTGCACCGCATTCCGAAATACCATGGGCTGTCCATGGAAGATCCAAACAAGCATCTTAAGGAATTCGAAGTGGTTTGTTCAAGTAATAGTTATTCGCTTATATTCACAAGTAGTGGAAGTCACTAGTCATGATTGTGTTAAGTGAATCCTTGGCAGGAATCTCATGCGCTTCATAGTGATGAATGCCTTGTCAATGCTTATGATTTTCATATAACTTAATGACTTTTGATATGTATCTCTGTAATGCGTTTCATAGAGAGAACTTGAGAAAGATAATTTGATTGTAATGCATATGCATTCAATTCAATGAAATAAGGAAAATCTGATGGTTGGTTGTGCAATGCAATTAACTTGGGGCGTTGTCATTCATAGTCTAAAGAAATAATAACTGGAAATTGGTTTGTATGCATATATCATGTGTGGAGAAGAACCCTCTAACTAGCCTTTCACCCATTCAATTCACCTAATTTCGTGTCTAACCTGTTTAGTTTGCAATCTGATTAGTTTAATTAATTTCGTCCAAAGCAATCCCCCCTTTTATTAAGTATGTTAGATTAGTTAGAAAAGTGTTTGAATCTATCCAATTTAGTGTTTTGAGTCTTACTAATCTAAAATTCGTCCAAATAACTCCTTAGAGTCTGTTTTGAGTCTATTTGCTAGTATTGTGCTATTTAGAGTCTATTTAGTTGAGTGTTTCTAAGTCTAGTTTAGTGTTATTGTGTCTAATTTGAGTAGATTAGCATCCCTAGTTAATCCCCGGTCTAGAACGATCCCTACTTACATATATACTACAATTGTCAACAATAGGGTTTAATTTGTGTGTCAATTTAATTTTCACATCAATAAGCTTCTAAGCTTCTACTCCAATCCAATTTCCTTCCCCACACCGAATCTTATGTGACACACCCTAACAGAGTTGAGTCATGTTGGCCGACACCCGAATGTGACGTAACCAAAAAGGAAAATGATGCATAAGAAAAATATGGATAAATTTAAAACCAAAGTTAACATTTATTTAATCTAAAGTAGATAGTGCGCAGTAGTGGGAATAACCTATAAAACATAATTGTTCAGAGCATAGATGGCAGTACAACACAAGTAATGCAGTCGAAACTAGTTAAAGTACTTATTACACAACCCGAAAAAGGTCCTACATTTATTTAGGGATAAGTCAAAACCGCCGGAGATTCCTTGTATGCCACAAAGAATTCATCTATCTAAGTCCTAGAAGGGTGAAAAACAAAAGGGTGAGTGGGTAAAAACAAAGCTTTATAAAACACATTTATTTTCTGAACATACTAACCCCTCGCCGTAAAACCTATATGGTTTCTAGAAAATCATACTATAATAAGTATGAAATCAACTGTAAATCAACAATAAATCCATAAATACGCCAAATCACAACATCTCAACAGTAGCATAATAAAATCAGGTGCTCATCAACCTATGCTAACACACGAGTTCATGTAGATAAGTTATGCCATGAACACTACTGTGTGTAATCATAATATACGCTCTAGTACTACAATCAAGCGAAGATTGGCGCTAGGCGCATCACATACAAGTTGGAGTTGCCTATTGCAACCTGTACAACAAGACTGGCACCTACAACGGATCCAAGGTAAGGGTACGGTGCGATGTGAACATACACGTGATGCTTGGCCCTGGCCCAGGCGAGTACTACACCGATGCAAGCATGCATGATGAGCAAGTAATATGTATAAGAACATGCCATGACAATATATAAATCTCAACATCATAATAGCATTTTAAAAATTAAATAAACCAAGGCATATCGGCATAATATAAGTCTCAAAGCATTTGCAAAAACTATAAAGCTTTATATATATATATATATATATATATATATAAACAAATGCCCACTCACTAATATGTCGATGGATCATAGCCTCCTAGCCTTGTTTATCCTCGCAACTCCTCAGGGTAAGTCTCACCTATATGTGAAATAACTTTACTAATTAATTAATTGGGACATAAACTAAAAGGCTAGGAAAATCCCTCATAGTTTGCTTAAACGGAGGGTTAAAGTATACGAAAACATTCTACTCAATGTCACGGACCCGTACACGTCAAGCACATGCCGCCACACGCCACCAGGTTGCGCCCACACGCTGGCAAATGATAAAGGAATATTCCGTCAGATTTGATGGAATATTCCGTTAAATATTAACGGCGTTAGAATATTTTGTTAACTTTAACGGAATATTCTCCTTTTTCTCCAGTTGTCCGCCACCGTTTACCACCGTCTGGTTCATTGGAAACTGGAGAATTTTCACCGGATTCTGGAAAAATTTTAAAACTTCGTATCTTCTTCATTTCTCAACCATTTTTTACGTACTTTATATGGAAATGAAGCTTATGAAGAGTAGAACAAGTTTATACCTTTTAAAAGTCCAAAAAGTGGACGGAATTGGACTCGAAAAGCTTGAAAGTCTCGGACCTATTTTCATCATCTCAAACCCGTGTGTTCTCACATTGGCTCCTCTTCAAGCCTAGGCTAGTGGCCACGGGGAGTTGCCTAGATGTCTCCAAACCTTCCGAAAGCATGCAAACGGAAAAGCCGTGGAGGAATGTACACCCGAGGCAGAGCTCCGAGTTAGAGGTTCAAAACTCGATCATTTCATGATTGGTTCATGCGAATAGGTTCATGGGTTTGAGAAGAGTGTGATGGTGGTGGTTGGAGGTTGAATCTGTGAAGTTTGATGATGGTGTATGGTTGTTGCAGAGATGAGAGAGCTACAGGTGAGGGAGAGATGAAGAAGAAGAAGAAGAGAGAGAGAGAGAGAGAGAGTTTGATTGGACAAAAGAGAGAGGAAAACTGTCTAATTGGTGAAAGAAATGAGGAGAGCGATTGATTGGTTGGTGAGGGGGAATAGGGCACGAGACAGATTTAAAGAAAGAAAGGGATAAGATTTATACAATATAAAATGCACATAAAATCTGTAAAAATCTAACTCACCTTTTCTAAAACAGTGTTTCCAACACTGAATAATTAGCACACGCATGTACAAATCTACCAATAGTTAACGCACTTTAAGTAAACATAACTTTTTTGTTACAACTCTGATTCAAGTCTAACTCATGCTCACGCATTCGTAACAACAATTACTAATTAATCATGATATCGAGAAAAATAATTTACAAGCCGAATAACTACGTCCACATCACTTTGCCAACAAGGACATAAATGTCATTTTACATACTCGGGAAGAAAATTACATGGAAAATTAAGGAAGGGTCGTCACAACTTAACCCCTTAAGAAAATTTTGTCCTTGAAATTTCAACACTACTAAAGATCATAGTTAAAAAACAAACGTGGACAAAGATCTCGCATACGCTCATCTGTCTCTCAAGTAGCTTCCTCAACATAGTGGTTTGTCCATAAGATTTTCACCATACGAACGGTTTTGTTCCTAAAAACTTTGTTTTTCCAGTCAAGAATCGTCACTGGAACCTCATCATAAGTCAAATCTGGGTTAATCTCTAACAGCTGAGGATGAATCACATGTGACGGATCAAAGACGTATCTCCGTAGCATGGATACATATAACACATTATGCACTCTTGACAATTCTAGACGTAGATCAAGTCGATAGGCAACTTCACCAACTCGCTCAATGAACTGATACGGTCCGATATAACGAGGACTTAGCTTTCCTTTCTTCCCCGAAACGTACAACGCCTTTCCATGTTGACACCTTTAAGAATACCCAATCTTTAACCTTATATACTTTGTATGTTGAATGTTTGTCTACTATACTCTTTTATTGATCATGTGCTACCTTCAGATTGCCCTTTATTGCTTGAATATTCTGTGTCGTCTCATCTACAGTTTCAGGGCCCACCAAAACTCTTTCGCCTACCTCGGACCAACACAACGGTGTGCGACAAGGTTTCCCATAAAGTGCCTCAAATGCTGACATACCAATGCTGGAGTGAAAGCTATTGTTGTAGACGAATTCTATCAAAGGTAAGCGTTTGTGATATGAGTCTCCAAACTGCAGGACTGAAGACCTCAGCATGTCTTCCAACGTCTGAATAGTTCTCTCTGATTGTCCATCAGTCTAAGGATGATAGCGGTGCTGTAGAGTAATTTTGAACCTAGCTCTTCTTGAAAAGCTACCCTAAATTTCAAAGTAAATTTCGGGTTCTGATCAGAAATAATACTAACTAGAACACCATGATACTTGACAATTTCATTAACGAAAAGTTTGGCCAATCGACTCAACGGATAGTTCTCACGAACAGGTATAAATGTGCTGACTTGGTAAGCCGATCTACAATCACCTAGATACTATCATAGCCATTACGTGTACGAGGCAGCTTGTACATGAAATCCATTGAGATATCTTCCCATTTCCACTTGGGTATAGGAAGTGATTGTATCAACCCGAATGGTTTCTTTCTTTTTGTTTTGACCTCAACGACTCACGTACTCCGCAATTTCTCTTTTCATTCCCGGCCAGAAGTAGAAAAGTCGGATAGTATAATACATCTTAGTACTCTCATGATGCATCGCATAAGCTGAGATATACGCCTCATCGAGTATTTCTTTCTTTAGTTCTTCCAGCTTCAGTACATACGTTCGATTGCCTTGGATGATCATACCATCAGGTCTTCGAATCCTAAGATCTCCCTTATTGCCATTCAACATTGCTTGCTTTAACTCCTGGGATTCTAAGTCATTCGTCTGAGCCTCAAGAACACGATCCAATAAAATTGGTCTGACTTGAAAGTTGGCAAGCAGAGCTCCCTGGTGATCCACTCCCAAAACTGTTCCAATAGATTTTAGGTCGGTCAAAAGAGGAACATGACATGCATAAAGAGCATTAAGTCAACCGTGAGATTTCCTGCTGATAGCATCTACTACAGTATTTGCACGACCAAGGTGATATTCAATAGTGCAGTCATAATTGCTGATCAATTACATCCATTTACGCTACCGAAGATTAAGTTCTTTCTGAGTAAAGATATACTTGAGGCTTTTATGGTCAGTGAAGATTCAACACGTTTCCCCATAAAGAGAGTGCCGTCAAATTTTCAAAGCAAAAACAATAGCTGCCAATTCGAGATCATGAGTAGGGTAATTCATCTTATGAGGCTTTAATTGTCGTGAAGCATACGCGATCACCTTTCCATGCTACATCAATACACAACCTAGACTATTCAGAGAGGCATCACTATAGATCTTGAAATTCCCACTGTCATTAAGAAGTGCCAAAACATGCTCATAAGTGAGACAATACTTTAACTGTTGAAAACTCTGTTCACAATCATCATTCCATTCAAAATTAACTTTTTTCTTGTCAACCTTGTTAGATGCAGTGCTATAGCCGAGAAGGCTTTCACAAAGCATCGATAGTAGTCCGCAAGACCAAGAAAACTCCTTACTTTAGTAACAGTCTGAGGTTGCTCCCATTTTTCCGCTTCTGTTACTTTCTGAGGATCCACGAGAACACCCTAAGCTGATATCATGTGTCCTAAGAATGACACCTAATCCAGCCAAAATTGGCATTTACTGAATTTAGCATACAGTTTATTCTCCCTTAACTTCTTTAAAACCAAACGTAAATGTCTAGCATGGTCAACCTCGCTCTTAAAATACACTAGAATGTTATCGATGAAGACAATTACGAACCTATCAAGGTACAGACGGAATACCCAATGCATCAGGTCCATAAAAGCTGTTGGAGCATTAGTTAACCTAAATGGCATCACGAGAAACTCATAATGACCATTTTGAGTTCGGAATGTTGTTTTCGGAACATCATTACTTACGATCTTCAAATGATAATAACCGGACCTTAGATCGATTTTCGAGAACACACAAGCACTACGAAGTTAATAAAAAAGATCATCAATACGAGGCAACGAATAACAGTTTTTAATAGCCATCCAATTCAGTTGTCTATAATCGATATATAGCCTCAAAGTTCTGTTTTTCTTCCTCACAAACAAGACTGGAGCTCCTCAAAAGGAAATGCTCGGTTGAATAAACCCCTTATCAATAGGTTCTTGCAACTGGATTTTCAATTCCCTTAACTCTACAGGAGCTATACGATAAGGAGTTAGAGAAATAGGGTCGGTACCTAGAATTAGGTCCATAGTGAACTCCACTTCATAATCCGGTGGTACGCCAAGTAAATCGTCGGAACAAACATCAGGAAAATGTCTGACTACCTGAATATCTTCCACATAAGTAGAAGTCTCTTCAGTCATTATTACATGAGCTAAGTAGCCTTGACAACCTTTCCTTAACATCCGTTTCACCCTCATGGCAGACATAACTCCGTGTTTCAGACCACTATGTTCGCCGACAAAAGTTACAATAGGCATGCCCGATCGATGGTAAGTAACAATTTTCTAATGACAATTCAACATGGCACAATTGTAATCTAGCAATCCATGCCCAAGATAACATTGAAATCAACGATGTCCAAGGGAACAAGATTAACTGGCATTACGACATCCTCGATAAGAATGGGACATCCTCGATATTCCCAACTAACATAGCAAATTTCACCCCTAGGCATCAAGAACTCCAACTCATAACCAAGGGAAGTGGGGTGAGGTTAAGTCTTTTGAGTAAACATATGGGAAATAACTGAATCAGTAGCCCAAATCAATTAAAATTCTAGCAAAATGGCCAAGACCATCCAATGTACCCATGATCAAGTCGGGGTTACTCTAAGCATCATGCACGGTGACGTTGTTGACGCGACCTTGCACTTGTTGTTTGCCTCTACGACCTCTGTTTCCCAAGTTCTGATTGCCATGTCCTTGATTGCCTCAACCCTGATTAGTTTGATTAGTCTGCCTAGCTAAGCCGCCACTGCTAGAAACTACATTAAGATTTTGGTATTGTCTTCCAGGATACCACTGCACTCCGCCATCCTGATACGGCGTATAACCTATGGTACTACGGATAACCGCCTTGGTAATATGGAACATCAGGTGAGTACTGATATACTTATCCTGGATACTAAGATATGTCACCCTAGTAGTGGAAAGCACCACCATAAATTGGCTACGGGTAAGTACCAAAACCTGGAATCTGCTGGAGATGAACGTAGGAGGTTGAGTTTTCTGATTATGAGGGCATTAATTAGCTATGTAGCCCATCTGGCCGCACATGTAGCATCCACTACTTCCCCTCTTACATTTACCATAATGACGACTATTGCACCTATGGCAGAACTGAGCACCAGAATTATTAGGGTTCCTTTGACTCTAAAAACGTAAACTGCCAGTGGACTTGCCGCCCATTTGAGGCATATTGGAACTTGAACCACCGCTCAAAGATCCAGAACTATTACTGTTTTTCTTGAAATTTTGAGTCTTTGGAGGGCCAAATGATGACTGCCCCCTGTTATTATTCTTCTGAGCATTACTATTATCATCTTCATCATCGTCATCATCAGGACCATTCTCGAAATCTTCAACACGAATCAGAACCTCAAAGAATTCTTGGTAGGTAAAGCATAGAGTAAAAGTCATCAAAGAATGCAGTCTCTTACGAGTCCCTTTCTTAAAATGACGGAGTATCTCTCTGCGATTCTCAGTGATGGAGGGACAATAATGGGATAAGTCAGTGAACTTCCGATGGTACTCTGTGACTGACATTTTACATTGCTTCAACTCTGTGAATTTGTTTCTCTTCCGATCCTTGTATTCCGAAGGTGTGAATCTAGCCTCAAATAGGCGAAATAACCAAGTCGTTGTCTTGACCCATCTCTTCGCTGGAAGATTCCCATGTCGCTGCATAACGCGAAAAGTCTTCTCGGGTCCCTCATTGCCAAAGAAATTATTTATTTGAAGATGGGATACGGTCTCTAAGGTAGTCATATGGGGAGGATGAAGTGTAGACTGAATGGCGCTGGTGATATTCTCATCAAGTTGCCCAAAATCAAGAAAGTTAGTCTCAGAATGGACATATGGCGCTCTACGAGGTGGCATGATTCTGACATAAAAGATCAAAAATTATTAGAACCTATAACACATATGAGGAATGCAGGACTACCAAACCTATGCTCTGATACCAAACTGACACACCCCAACCGAAGTCAAGGCATGCTGGGCGACACCCGAATGTGACATAACCAAAAAAGAAAATGATGCATAAGAAAAATATGAATAAATTTAAAACCAAAGCTAACATTTATTTAATCTAAAGTAAAGAGTGTATAATAGTGGGAAGAACCTATAAAACACAACTATTCAAAGCATTGATGACAATACGACATAAGTAGTGCAGTCGAAACTAGTTAAAGTACTTATTACACAACCGGGAAAAGCTACTACATTTAGGGATAAGTCAGAACCGTCGAAGATTCCTCGTATGCCACAGAGAATTCAACTATCTAAGTCTTGGAAAGGCAAAAAACAGAAGGGTGAGTGGGCAAAAACAAACCTTTATAAAACACATTCATTTTCTGAACATATTAACCCCTCGCCCTAAAACATGTATTGTTTCCAGAAAATCATACTACAATAAGTATGAAATCAACTTTAAATCAACAATAAATCCAGAAATACGCCAAATCACAATATCTCAACAGTAGCATAATTAAATCAAGTGCTCATCAACCTATGCTAACACACGAGTTCATGCAGATAAATTTTACCATGAACATGACTAGGTGTAATCATAATATACGCTCTAGTACTACAATCACGTGAAGACTGGCGCAAGGTGCATCACATACAAATCGGAGTTGCCTATTACAACCTGTACGACAGGACTGGCACCTACAATGGATCCAAAGTGAGCGTGCGGTGCGATGTGAACATACACATGAAGCCTGGCCCTGGCCCAAACGAGTACTACACCGGTGCAAGCATGCATGATGAACAAGTAATATGTATAAGAACATGCCATGACAATATATAAATCTCAACGTCATAATATCATTTTTTTAAATTAAATAAACCATGGCATATCGGCATAATATAAGTCTCAAAGCATTTGCAGAAACTATAAAGCTTTATAATATATATATATATATATATAAACAAATGCCCACTCATTGATACGTCGATATTAACAGTTTTAGAATACTCCGTTAACTTTAATGAAATATTCTCCTTCTTCTCTGGTTGTCCTCCGCCGTCCGTTGCCATCTGGTTCCCCGGAAACTGGAGAATTTTCACTAGATTCTGGAAAAGTTTTAAAACTTCATATCTTCTTCATTTCTTAACCATTTTTTACGTACTTTATATTGAAATGAAGCCTATGAAGAGTAGAACAAGTCTTTGCCTTTTAAAAGTTCAAAAAGTGGACAAAATTGGACTGAAAAAACTCAAAACTTTTGGACCTATTTTCGTCGTCTCAAACCCTTGTATTCTCACATTGGCTCCACTTCAAACCTAGGCTAATGGCCATAGGGAGTTGCATGTCTCCAAACCTTCCAAAACCATGCAATTCAAACAGAAAAGCTGTGGATGAACGTACATCCGAGTTAGAGCTCCAAGTTGGAGGTTTAAAACTCGATCATTTCATGATTGGTTCGTGGGTTTGAGAGGAATGTGATGGTGGCCGTTGGAGGTTTGATATGTGAAGTTTAATGATGGTGTATAGTTGTTGCATAGATGAGAGAGCTATGGGTGAGGGAAGTGGGGAGACGAATTGATTGGTTGGTAAGGGAGAATAGGGCACGGGACAAATTTAAAGAGAGAAAGGCATAAGATTTGTACAATATAAAATGCACACAAAATTTGTAAAAATCTAGCTCACCCTATCAAAAATAGTGTTTCCAACATTGAATAATTAGCACACGCGTGTACAAATTTACCTGTTGTTAATCTACTTTAACTAAACGTAACTTTTTCGTTACAACTCTGATTCAGGTCTAACTCATGCTTATGTATTCGAAACGAATACTAATTAATTACAATATCGAGAAAAATAATTTAAAAGCCGAATAACTACGTCCACGTCACTTTGCCAACAAGGGCATAAATGTCATTTTACATATTCAGGAAGGAAATTACATGGAAAATTAGGGATGGGTCGTCACATTATGAGTGACTGCGTTCGAGTTGTTCTAATTCAGTTTCATTTTCCTCATCTTTTGCATACTGAAGTCCATATAACATCCTCTCCTTAGAACCTACAAGCTCAATTCAGATAATTTCAACGACGATCTGCATCGAGCTTGGTTTCAAATGATTGCTCATCACCTCATGCAATCATAGTATGAGTAAGTAGGGATCGTTCTATTCTGGGGATTAGAAGGGATGCTAATCAACACAAATTAAACTTATAAACTGAAAACTAAGTTAAACTAAAAACAAGAAATGAGGGGGGAGATTTTGGACGAATTTAATTAAAACAAAAGTAAAGTGCAACAAGTAAATTAAGTTGTGAATGAAATATGGATGAAAGGATAGCTAAAGGATTCTTCTCCACACATGAAACATATGCATACAAATCAATTTCCAGTTATTCTTGCTATAAACCACGAATGACAATGCCCCAAATTAATTGTGAAAAGCACTAATTAACTCTCAGATTTTCTAAGTTCATTGAATTGGACTCAGCAACGCAACCAAATTATTCTTCTCAAGTTCCCTAACTATGAAAAGCATGATAGAGATACATCTGAAAGATCATTAAGTTCTATGAAAATCATAAGCATTTGACAAAGCATTCATAACTATGAAAAGCATGATACTCCTGCCAAGAATTTACTTAACTCAATCATGACTAGTGACTTTTACTACTTGCAAATCTAAGTTCATAATGATTAGGTGAAATTCCCTTATATTCTAGCATCAAATCCCTGCATGCAAACTAAGTGTGCACCCTTAATAAACATACAAGAACAAGTTTTCTATAAAGCAGATAAATAAATCGCATTCATGTTTTATGAAACAATAACTGGATGTAATCCATTTATATAAAACATATGATCATGGCTTCGAATTCACCTCTAGCTAAAAAGAAATTTAGTACACATGTTCATCATAACTGAAAAACAATATAAATTAAACATTGAAAATTAAAACAAAGAGAGAAAGAACCCAAAAAACTCCAGCAACTTCAATGGATGAATGGTAGGCATGGCACTCCCTAAATCTCTACAAGAATTTCATATATATATATATATATATATAGGAGAAAATGGTTGAATCCAAGGAGGAAAGGGTTTTGGCGTTTTTAAGTTATTTTAGGACTTTAAAAATCAGGTAGAAAGTGTTGGAATGTGTGAACACGAAAGTTCCTTGAAACAACAAGAGACAAGAATAACGTGTACAAAATAATATTTTGTGTTTAATGATTTTGGGGTTACGATCTCTCTCAAATTTGGTCCTCTGATTCTATCTTCGTAGGGTGT